CGTTGGATTGAACTGTAGCTGCCGACGAAGCTTCGGCTTGACTATTGATTAACGATGCAGTTGAGCGTTCGAAATGCAAGAGCGTGTGGTGTTTCGACTGACAGGCGCGGCACGATCCGAATTTGCAGTCACGAATTTGATGCCCAGTCTTTAGGCAGTTAAGACAAAGGGAAAGCTTCTTAACTTCCCTCAGGCGTAAGTTCGGAGACAAATTTGCGAAGCGTTGACAGCTATAAATTGCATGCTCGGCAGATCCACAAAACACACAAACACCTTTTGAGCCGTTGGAAGCAACAAAGGATTTCCTCTGACCAGTACTCACGTTCTTGTTAGCTTTTACCGCCTGACCAGTCGGTGTCTGCATAGAATGCTCAACGTTCTCGAGTGTTCTGCAGCGCTTCTCCAAGAACATAGCTAACACAGCTAGTTCGCTGATCGATGAACTCTCCTCCCATTTAGCTTGCGTCTTTTTGTCGAGTTTCTGGATCACCAATTGTACGATGATGCCATCTGCGATCTTCCCATTGGATGCGAGCGACTGCAATGCGCGTATGTGTGCTGTGACCTTATCTGTCAGCTCTCGTAGCTTGGTTACGTTTGAATCTGCCCTCTCTAGCCCAAATATCTCCCTGACGTGTGCCTGAAATATAAGACGTTTGTTATCGAAGCGCTTTTGTAAAAGATCTAATGCAGTGTTATAATTAGCGTCGTTTATTTCCAGCGAGCGCACGGTGTCAAGGGCAGCGCCGCTCAGACAGGAACGAAGATGCTGCAATTTGTCGATGTTGGTGAGGTCGCTGTCCTTGTCGATTATTGACGTGAACATTGAATAGAAATTTGTCCACTCGGTGTAGGCGCCACTGAATTTAGGCAGTCTCAGCAATGGCAAGCGTGAGCTATTAGCGTTCACAATGATTGATTGGGTCTCACTGGAGTTCATTCTGAGCGTGGAGCAATGTTGCGAGGCACTACGTTTACCAATCTCGCGTTGCAGTGTAGCTCTAAGGTTGATTAGAGCAGCATCGAAGTTACTTTGCAGGTCGCTGGCAATGGAGTCGAAGTCCAATTCCTGTAGGCTTGTGTGTGCGGCAGAAAAACTGGATTTCAATTCACCTAAGGATTCTAGCATTGCTGAAAGACTGTACTCATCCATACTGTGTAGCTTGTCTGCGTCCAACTCGTTAATCAAGCTCTCCAGTCTGCTGAATATGGCCTTTGTTTTCAGCTTTAGAAAGGCTACTCGATCTGCACCTTCCCCTGGCATGACGAAGTTGCTGACGTTTACACTAGTGTGGCAGAATTATCTCAGTAAGCGGCCGGAAACAAACGAAAAATCGCGTGATACGATCACGTCGGGGTCACCAAATGTTGAGCTACTAAGCCTTTTTAGCAGCTATTAAAATAAAACAAACGATGTATGCATAAGTTAAGCAACTGTATTTAACAAGATTTGGTCCGCGACTAACTAACAGAAAGTTCACCTTGAACTATTTAAGTATGTCCTAATTACATTGGATAACTGCAAATTCATCACCAACAATAGAAAACCAGTTTTCTTAAATGCATGAGAATTTACATATATATATTTATGCACGTATGCACCCGCGCACACAATATTGCTTACATACATATGTACTATTTTTCGCTTGCTTGCATACGAATGTATCCAACTGAGCGCGGGCGGTACGTATGCACATACATATATGTATGTATGTATATACGTATGCTTTATACATAGTATAAAGGGGAAACAAAATTAGCACAGTTTAAATACATACAAGTAAATATGCAGCTCAATTGAGTATGAAAATTTCAGTGTGATCAGATAACGTTATTCATATTGATTTTGATAAACATATTTTATGTTGCTGGCTTATCCGCTGCTGCTCCGAATAGTACATTTGACGGATATGGTGATACTTCATATCGATATGATTACTGCGTGCGTGATAAGTTGGATTCTTCACTAAGCATTGTGAACTCAAGTTGTCATTGTTCAAAATCATAGGACCATCTTGACCGAACCCCATTTCTCGCAGAAGCTTGCTGATGTAGGATGCCTCCTTCGCTGCTGAAGATAGCGCGATATATTCAGCCTCAGTGCTGCTTAACGCCACGACGCTTTGTTTCTTGGACTCCCAAGAGAATACGCCACCTGCTGCTACAAAAACACAGCCTGAGTACGACTTACGATCGCTGGCGTCACAGTTTTGGTGTAATGCAGTTTGTAATTAGATGTCTTTCTCAAATAACGTAGTACATGTTTGACTCCGGCTTCGTGTTCTGAATGCGGATTGTTGTTGCGCTGTGATAACTTACTCACTGAGTGTAGAATATCGGGACGTGTTGATATTACCAAGTACATTAACGCACCTACGACGGATTGGTACGCCAATTTATCAACCTTCTTGCATTGCTCACTACTGCAATGTACACTGAACCCTGCATCTAGCGGTGTTACGACGTCCCTGGAGTCTTCCATGTTGTAGTCTTTAAGTAATTTTAAGATGTACTGCGTTTGGCCTAAACTAACTTTGCCAAGTTCACCTTCTCGCTGAATCTCCATTCCCAGGAAATGCGTTAACTGACCACCATCGACGACTTGGAATTTGCTCGATATGTCAGTTTTAATACGTAACAGTTCAGACTTACGTGAACATGCGATGATGAGATCGTCTACGTATACGGCAATTATGTTGACCAAATCTGCAGAATTTTTAGTGTATATGCATGGTTCGCTGGGGCATGGTTTGAACCCCATTTCTTGAAGAACCAAATTCAATTTGCTGTTCCACTCCCGACCGCTCTGCTTTAAACCATAAAGAGACTTCTTCAGTTTCAATACTCGCTCGGGATACTTGCTGTCGATAAAGCACTCTGGTTGCTGCATGTAAACATCGTCGTGTAGATCGCTGTTGAGGTATGCGGAAGACACATCCATTTGGTGTAGATACAGATTGTGCTCCACTGCCAATGCAATCGCCATTCGGATATTTGCATATCTAACCACTGGCGAAAATGTTTCGAAGTAGTTCACCCCGTACCGCTGGCTGCAACCTTTAGCTACCAAACGTGCCTTAAATTGCTTAACCTCGCCATGCTGGTCGCGTTTAATTGTGTACACCCACTTGCATCCGACAACTTTCTGACCTGGTGGTAATTCGACAAGTACCCATGTGTCATTTTTTACGAGGGATGCGTACTCCTTCTCCATCGCAGCTTTCCACTCGTCAACATAATGACTGGCTAACGCCTCCTTTACACTGTTGGGAGCCACTGCTAAATCTTCATTCATTACGTTTAATTGATTGTATAGTTTACGCGGACGACCTCTTGCACCTGTACGCAACAATCTTGGCCTACCTGGACCAATCACAGCTGCACTCTGCTATTCGTAACTGTCGTCTTCAGTATTCGTTGATTCTACTGCTTCGGTGGAAATTTCTGCCATGTCTCCTGTCTCCACACTCTCATTATTTTGCCGCACTTGCATAGGGTCTGCAACCAACACCACGTCTGACTGTGCTTCGCCAAACTCTATTAACCTCGGTTCTGGCTCTTCACCAACATGAGCATTTTCAATGAACACTACGTCACGGCTGATTATGACCTTTCGGCTGTGTTTATCA